ATTACCGTTGCTGACTAATTCATCTTTGTAAAACAAAAAACAAATGACAGCAACAATACCTAGCATTTGAACAATTAAATATTCCATCACAAATAGTAGAAGCAGTCGTTGTTCTGCCAGACCAACTTCCGTTATTTGTTTGAGTTCCTAATTTCACTGCTTTTATGGAAAATAAATGATAACTAAAGAGACATGACTACTTACTGTATCTTAATAACTCACTTTTCTCTACAGACACTGCTTTTCTTCTGGCACACATAGGCATTCAGCCATTATTATATCTTGTTTAGTGGGATAATTGTGATACAAAGCCTTTTCGTCTGCAGTCATTATTGAACCAAAAGAAAATGTTACATACTCTGTTTGGTCCAAGGTACTAGCGATGTCACAAGGAACTATTAATTTATCATGTTATTTATTCAAAATAGGCAACAAGCCATATGTTGAATAGTGATGACAAAAAAATAAGGTTTCAATAGGTTTTCCTATGAACTGGCAACTCCAACCCCAATTCTGAAAAAATTGGAAAATGGTAAATAGTCCGCATATGAATATAGTGCTATTTTAACCTTAGCAGTTCTACAGTGCTTTACACTGTTTCTCATTCACCCATTACCCCCCCCCCCCTCCACACACACACACTCACACACCAATGTTTACACATTCACACACCAATGCTAGCTTGCCATCAGGAGCAGCTTGGGGTTCAGTGTCTTGCCCAAGAAAAGTTCTGCATGTTGATACATGTGGGCCGGGAATTCAACTACCAACCCTACAATTACCACCTAAGCCTCCTCTACTGCTAATATGCTAATAAATGCAAAGAATAAAATAAAAAAAATAACAACAACAACAACAAAAAACTTATAAAGACAGGGTATTTGATGTTTTACCAACTTGATAGTTGGCAAACCATAGTATTGTTAGTTTTTTCGAGAGATAGATAGTTGTTGTTTTTTTTTTTTGGAAGGTAAACATTTATTTTGAAATTGATGCATGCAACACATTCCAGAAAAGCCCTTCTGAATGCATGTGATCTCCAATTCCTCAGACATTACTGTCTTAAAACCGTCATGAGTCTGTAATGGATATCCTGACATGGGCTCGGGAATACTTTGGTAAACTTTTGTAAGTTTACCGACACCATTTGCCGCTGCATCCACAGATGCAAGTTAAGGCTTTACTATGCAAAGCAGAAGTCATACAACAGCACTGTCCAGAAGCGCCACTGACTTCTTTGGCCTCTGTCTCATCTGAGATTGACAGGTGCACAGTGGAATCATGTGTTGTGGTCCGACAAGACAACATTTCAAATACTTTTTTGACGAAACAGCCGTCATGTTCTCCGGGCCAAAGAGGAAAACGACCATCCAAGCTGTTATCTGTATCAGGTCCAAAAGCCTGCATCTGTCATGGTATGGGGGTGTGTCAGTGCCCATGGCATGGGTAACTTGCACATCTGCAAGGACATCATTAATGCAGAAAGATATGTAAATATTTTGGAGCAACATACGCTGCCACCCAGACGTTGTCTTTTCCAGGGAAATCCCTTCAGTTTCCAGCAGGACAACATCTAACCACATTCTGCCTGGATTACAAGTGCATAGTTTCATGAGCACAGAGTGCAGGTGCTAGCATGGCCTGCCTGCAGTCCTGACCTGTCTCCAACTGAGAATGTGTTGTGCATTATTAAGCACAAAAAAGGCAATAAAGGTAACCATACAGTTGTGCAGCTGAAGAAATGGATGAATGGGGGAAAATTCTGCTTGCTGAACTTAATCAACTGGTATCTTCAGTGCCAAAATGCTTAATAAGTGTTAATGAAAAACAGTAGACTGTCCCAAATGCTTGGAGTGTGTTGCAGTCATCAGATTTAAAATGAGTGTATATTTTCTAAATATAGTAAATTCTCAAAGTAAAACATCAAGTACTTTGTTAATAATGTGTTTTCAATATAGTACAGGTTGATTTTCAAGTTACTATTTTTGGTTGTTTGGTTTTGGGGGTTTTTTGCATTTTCCATACTGTCCCAACTTTTTTTAGAATTGAGGTTGTAAAATGGATACACGTGAACTGATAAAGCTTTTTCTGGTTGTTTAGGAACCTCACATACATTTGAGTTTAAAAGTCGGCAGCACCCAATACTTTTAAATGGGAAAAGTAAAATGTATTTTTTACAGTTTATCTTCAGAATATTAGAATTCCAAGATCATAAAAAATTTATGTTGGCATAGACTGCAACAACACAGCAATTCAAAACATAAGTTAGAATCAATATAATAATATTTTGTAAAGAAATTTTGCCACAGGTTCATAAAAACTGGGAAGACAAGATAAGATCTGCACTTACAGGCATCTGCCTTAAGATTTGATGTGTTGTGTTCTGAGATGCTTTTCTGCTCACCATGGTTATACAAATTGGTTATTTAAATTCCCGTACTGGAAACTCAACAGCACTTATTTGAGTTACTGCCACTCAATAGATGTTTTGTTGTCTTTATTAATTTTTTTTTCATTTTGTGAACTCTATGTACTGTTGTGCATAAAAATCCCAGGAGAGCAGCAGTTTCTGAGGTACTCAAGCCTGTCTGACACCATCTACCATGACATGGTTAAAGCCACTGAGATTTAAAAATTTTTTTCCTCCCATTCTGATGATTAATGTGACCAGTAAATAAAGCTCTTAACCCGTTTCTTTATGATTTTATGCATTGTGTGTTGCCATGTGATTGACTGATTAGGTAATTGCATGAATGAGCAGGTATGCAGCAGTATGAGAAAACCTATCAGGGTTTGAGATGATGCAAATATTTGGGTTAGCATTAGACAATAACATGAAAAATTATTTATTTATTTATTTTATTTACCTTGCCTATAGAAACCCTCATAAAATTTGTAATGGCTTTAATGGTTATAATGGGAATTGTATTGATTTTAATGGAAACTCTAATGGTCCCTGTGGGACTCTACTGGCAATCGATGCCTTCTATAGGTAGTATTTTATGTCATGGGTTTGTAATGGTTACCATTAAAGACCAATAATTATAATGTTAATGGTGTTAATGGTTAGCTTTGTAATGGTATTTGTAGTGGAAATCATTTCTGTGTTGGTTCTATTGGGGTTTTTTTCAGCAGAAGTTCTTATAATAGGTAATCAGTGTACATAAAGATGTCTAGTACTTTGCTAACTCTGTGCACTTTTCTTACAAATTGTCATACCTTGACCATGTATAGTTACATGCCATAGCAAAATGGACAGAAGCCTAATAAATGCAGTTTTGTAAACAGATCTCAGCCATCAAATTGTCAGTGATGGTTCTGCAATGTCACTTCATTTTCAAAACAGAGAAGAGCTCTTACAAAGACAAGACATGTAGGAAACAGAACAGAATAGACTGAATAAATCAGTGATTCTTTTCACATGATCTTAATTTGAACAGATCAGTGGAGTGAAGAGATAGTGATGTGTTTAAAAGCACCAAGTGACTTTTACCTCAGGTATTGAAACAGAGTCTGGATGAACCTGATAATAAAGTGTATGATAATGTGGATGATTCTGACTATAAAGTCAGAACACATTTCCCATTGTAAACAATCCAGTAGTTTTTATTTCATAGGTACTTTTCATAAGTAGAGTAGGATATAAATATTGAGGTACATTTGTTGCCACCTATGCCAGTCGCCAAAAATATGCATTGCCTTGTTATGCCTTTGTGTGTGTGTGTGTGTGTGTGTGTGTGTGTGTGTGCCAAAATGACCACAAAAATAGATTCTGTAAGTGCCTATAAATTACATGCCTTTGTTTTCTTGCATTTGTCCCAAGAGTTGTCAAAATTTGACTCTCAAAATATATGATATTTAATGATATCTAATTAGCTTATTGCATATTCTTTGACTTAAAGTTATTTTTTTTAAATGAAAAATACTTGGGCAAAATTGAGCTTACTAAACTTTTCAGGTACTGAATGAAAATGAGAATGCATTGGACTGGCAGAGACAATTTCATACTCACTGTAGATGCAGACCTGTGATCAGGTTGATTTTATAATGCAGGCGCTCTTTATGATAGGTTTTCCCCTATGAACTATAAGGCCACGCTTATAGAAGCAGTGAGAATTGGGCAGACATATTCATCTCCCTCCACCTACACCCCTTCACAGTTTTTCCCCATATGAAGTGAGTAATGTGAGTTTACAAGAAGCTTCACAATCAGGATATTTGGATGTTTTTTTTAAGGATTTGGACTGAGCAGATTGGTGCTCCATGTGCCAAAATCTTTCTAGGCTTAGGCTATGAGCAAAATGTTTAGTACATTACTAAAATCTGCTAAATGTTCTGTGCCCACAGATTGTGAAATATTTCTCAGCTCTGATGTCTGGCATGTATTAAAATGCAAAGCCTCATGAATTCAATCTTTCATTTTGAATTCATTTTATTCTGTACACTTTTTATGCAGTTCTTCTTGCTGCATCTTCTTGCCTAGTTGACTATTATTGCTGTTATTTTAGATAGCGTTTTAGTGAGAAAGGGAAAAGAAAAGAATGTATATATATATATATATATATATATATATATATATATATATATATATATATATATATATATATATATATATATATATATACATTTTTTACATTTGTTAATGAATGACACATTGTACTTTTGACTATTTTAGTAGTTATGTTTTATGTTGTGGAACATATGTGAGTTTTAGATATCACTTATGTAAGTGAACATATGTAAATTTTAGATATCACTTAATGTATAGTAACTAAAAAACAGCCGTTTATCTCACCAACATTTCTTTTCATCTGACAGAGAACTAAAAGTGCAAAGTCCTCTGTCCTGAAGACTTCCCCATGACATAAAACATACTGACTATTACAAAGCTCTTGCACTGGAGACTCCTTCCAGAAATGTTAAAGTATATACTCACCAAGAGTTTTACCATATTAACACATGATTTAAAAAAATAATAATTTATTAAAAAACAACACAGGGGAATAGTGGCTTAGTGGTTAGCACGTTTGCCTCGCACCTCCAGGGTTGAGGGTTCAATTCCTGCCTCTGCCCAGTTTGCATGTTTTCCCCAGGGGTTTTCTCCGGGTACTCCACTTTTGTCCCCTAGTCCAAGGACATACATTGTAGGCTGATTGGCACATCCAAATTGTCTGTATTGTGTGAATGGGTGTGTGAATTTATGTGTAATTGTTCCCTGCAATGGGTTGGCACCCCATCTAGGGTGTCCCCCAGCCTTGTGCCCAGAGTTCCCTCTGATAGGCTCCAGGCTCCCTCACAACCCTGTGTAGGATAAGCGGTATGGAAAATGGATGGAAGGATGGAAATAACACATTTGTCTCAATTTATCATTAGCCTTAGATTACATGTAACGTCGGCCATGCAAATCCCTGTGAATTAGTTGCTTCTATAGAAACAATAATATATTAGAACAAACACATGTCAGGCGCTAAGCCAAATGGATGAATGAATAAATGATTTGCCTTACAGCCAGCATTAATGTCAGAGCTGCTGTTATAAAGAATTAATCGACACCTTTTAGGCAATTTGGGAACAGCTTTGTGGGATTAATTCTGGATAATGCACAAATTGGAGACATATTATATATATATATATATATATATATATATATATATATATATATATATATATATATATATATATATATATACTTCAAAATTCAGAAGGACCTTCTCGCAGATTAAGAATAAATTATTCCAAAAATCATCAGGAGGAACATGAACATGACAGATGATTTACAAACGTGAACTTCTGATGTTAGAGACTATATTTCCGGTGATCTTCAGCCCTTGGACTTATCAAAAGTCAAGATCCTATCCTTATTCCCAGGGGCGTCAAATTTAATAGGGATGCTAGATACATGTTCCTCTCACAATATCCACGACTACTGAATTGACCCTAGCAATAATTTGATCAAACAATTAAAATATATTTATATACAACCACTGTTGTCCATCAGGGTCTTGTGGTTTTATTACATTTATTTACTTAATCTTTATTTAACCAAGAAATGTCTCATTGAGAGTAAGAATCTCTTTTACAAGAATGTCCTGGCCAAGACAGGCTGGGCCGGTGTGGTTAAGGTGGTAGAGTGGGTTGTCCACTATTTGTAGGGTTGGAGGTTTGATTCCTGGCCCGCATGACTCCACATGCCAAAGTGTCCTTGGGCAAGACACTGAAACCCAAGTTGCTCCCAATGGCAAATTTGTACCTTGCATGGCAGGTGTGCTACCATTTGTGTGTGTGAGTGATTGAATGAGACACAGTGTAAAGCGCTTTGGATTACAGCTCTATATATGTGCAGACCATTTACCATTTAAGACAGGCAACAGCGCAATTTGTGGTACACAAACGGTTAACAGATCTTGTTCTCTACTACAAATCCCGCCACCCTAACCCACGTCACTAATAGGATTAGTTTTGCCGTTTCTTGCTAACGTGTGAGAGGCTATAGCTACATCTGGCTGTACAAAATGCCAAAGCTCCATCAACTAGATGCTCATCATGGAGGCTACATGTATGTGAATGATGGTAATAATAATAATTAACTAATCCATAAATGTTTTTCCTCAATGTTCATGTGGCATGATTCAATGTGTTATTTTGTCAGGTCAGGTGACAGAAGCAGTCCTCCTAGGTAGTATCTCAGATAGAGCAGGAAGAGAGACAGTGGAGAGACAGGGCCAAAGGTGAGGTAGAACAAAGACACAGTGATATGTTAGTAGTGAGATTCAGTATTGTGACAAATGTTAGGCTGATGTACTGTATGGTTCATCCATGTGTGTGCGGATTGCTTTTATGTCCCCACCAATGTCAAAATACAACCTATCGCTTGCTTATTTTCTTTAAATAACCCAGACTGACAAAGACACTTTGCGGGTCTGGCAAGTCTTGCACCATTATTGTGTTTGGGGCGATTCTAAGCCTTTGTTCTCTGCCTGTTTTTATTAGCGTTTTTACCATAACCTGCTTCTGTTGCTTTGTCTAGTTTCTACCTGCTTGCCAATTACAGTACCTGATTTGCTTGCCTTATGTTTCGGAGTATTGTGTAGTTTGTCTCTTGGTTGCATTTGCATCATTTTACCTACAGCATGACAGAACTGATCATGCACTCTGATCACAATGCACACCTTTCTAAATCGCTGTAGTATAAAATCACATATATTCTGTTCTCTCTCTCTGTTGAGCTCATCTGCTCCTGTGATGTTAGTTCCTGATTCTGACAAACTTCTATGACTGTGGCTGCTCACGCCCTATGGACCTGCCAGAATTCATTCTGATACTTGTTATGCTTAGAGCTTCTGTGCTTCTGATTCACCATCTGCTCCTGTGCATGGTCCTGCATGGATACCCTAAAGAGTTCCCAAAAACCATTTATGCTTACACATTTGCTTCAGTGGATAAGCTCACAAACATAGATACTGTATATTTGTACCTAAGAACTTCTGCTGTAATAATAAAGACTGCCCTGTCCTCATCATAGGACTTTTATTCACAAGACACTCATACTGAACATTCTTTGAACACACTTAGTACTGGTTTACTTCCTGTACTTCACCCATATAAAATTAATATTTATTAATTATAAATAATCCAGCTATCCCAGAAGAGGATATGTTCCCTTTTGAGTCTTATTCCTTGCCAGGATTTCTTCATGACACTACTGTTGCATTTGTCTTACATATTAGAGAGCTAAATTACTTTTACATTAATGTAAAGCTGCTTTGTGATAATGTCTATCATTAAAAGTGCTATTATTAATCACGTTGATCACTATTATCTGTGTTGATAGTGGGTTATTTTTTATTCCAATCTTAAAATGGATCAGAGGGTAAAACGAAGTGATAGAATTATTATTGATTTGGCATGGAAAAAATCATATATATATATATATATATATATATATATATATTTATTTATTTATTTTTTTTTTTTTTAGGCAGTATTTACATTTTGCTGATGTGAATCATGGTAACACACTTGTATAACATGTCTGTTTACTGAAATGTATTTCATTATCAAATTTACCTACTCAACCAGCAATTTTTAATGAAAGAGTAGAATAGTTAACTGAGACCACTGTCTTTGAGAGTTAAATTCCTTGAGCTTTAAAGTCTATTAAAATCCTGATCCTGCAAGATGATCAACCTGAGCTAAATTGTATTTTAATTAAGATAGCTGGGGATTCTCCTTATGAATATAAAGATACTGATCAGTCCAAAGACTTCACATAGTTATAGATAATAATGAAGTAAAACCCCGTAGATCTAAACTTAAGCTGTTTCTTATCACCAACTGTACTGTTGAAATTTGGAAACTGATATTTTAAGTTTAATAATAAACTGGTTCATTAATTTAAAAAAATAATAATTGTTAATATAGTGGGCGCACGGTGGCTTAGTGGTTAGCACTTTCACCTCACACCTCCAGGGTCCGGTGTTCGATTCCCGCCGTGGCCCTGTGTGTGCGGAGTTTGCATGTTCTCCCGGTGCCGCGGGGCTTTCCTCCGGGTACTCCGGTTTCCTCCCCCAGTACAAAGAGATGCATGGTAGGTTGATTGGTGTGTCTAAAATTGTCCGTAGTGTATGAATGGGTGTGTAAGTGTGTGTGATTGTGCCCTGTGATGGACTGTCCAGGGTGTACCCTGCCTTGTGCCCAATGCCCCCTGGGATAGGCTCCAGGTTCCCCGCAACCCTGAAGAAGGAATAAGCGGTAGAAGATGGATGGATGGATGTTAATATAGTAAATGTTTCTGAAGGACATTTTTGGAAGGAGTCTCCAGTGTCAGCGCGTTGTAATGGTCTGTAATTTATTTTTCTCCACTGAAGAACATTTTCTCCCAGGAAGAACAGGGTATTACTGTTACAGCTACAACAGTGTCTTAATCGGAAGCATAATCTAATTGTAAATGGTAAAAAAATCATGAATGCATTCATTAATAAATTTACATTTGTAACTGAATGGCAAATTCCTATGTTATAATAGAAATAAAATACATCAGGACATTGTTATTGGAAAACAATCATCTTCTCAATAGTCCACATGAGACCACCCTGTCTTTAGTTATTTCCCTACATTCCATCATGCTTTCTTCTTTTCAAATCATTTACATCAGGTTTATTTTACAGTTGTATTCATTCTATTTATATGTACAGAAGAACAGTAATATACTGTAGACTCTCAGCTATGATGGAACATGAAGCAGTAAAAGATTAATAAATAGATCATGAGATAAACACTGATATTTCACATTACTTCAACTAATTTAACTAAGTCAACTAGTACTGGGACATTTAAGACAAATCAGCATAAAACATTCATTTTGACATCAGTAGAAGATAAACAGCACAAATGACTCATTGACATAAAAGTGAAATAATGAAATGACGACAGTTGAAAATGTCTTTAAGCTAACCATGCAAAGAGTACATGTGGAGATAGATTATGGCCTGGTGGTAGATACTGTTCCTTGGGCAGCTGATACTAGACCACATGCTGCAGTAGTCTTTGCCAAAATATGAAAGCTTTCAGCTGGTGTGTGTGGCAGTGTGGGGGGTTCCTGATGATACAGCTTGCCCTCCTTTCACAATGTTTCTTATGGATGTCAAATATGAAGGAGTATAGTGAGCCAGTGTTACATTGGTCTGATCACATCACCCTCTGGAGGGCTTTGAGACTGAACCGCAAAAGATGTTTGTGGAGTTGCCATTACCAACATCATTTCTCACTGCAAATGCTTCTCAACTGAGAATTCATATGAACCAAATTTTGTGCAAAGTTACAACAGTTATGAAAAGTTACAAACACTGTGGCAATGCACATAGCCTTGTAGTTTTGGATAACTTACCAATTTCTTCTTTACAACATCACAAGTAGTTGGACATGTCTCTCCATGGAGGTCACTCCTTGTTCAGTTCTTTGTCATCTCAAGATTGAACAACCTGCTCCTGGCTGTTCGTCCTCTATGCACCATCCAATCCTTCCAATTGATCCAAAATGCACTTGTGTGACTTCGCAAGTTCTCCCACATCACC